TATTAATTATATTTGACTCATGCCTATGCCTAACGATGCCCGAATCTCATGGTATGTCACATGCCTGATTGTTTTGATCATACGGCGCACAGCATCGATGTTTTTGTTGTTCACAGCAAAGGACGGGCGACCATCACGAAGTTCGTCACTGAGAGTCACACGATCGTGTTTGAGTTATTATCCCGATAAACTTTTATGAAGTTTGGGAGAACATTATCTTATTTGTAAAAAAAATGTAATTGACAAGATAAATAAACAAGATAAAAAAAAAGTTGTGCAAACCAGCTATAAATAGTCGTCTTGCATGGTGCTTCATCGCCAAAAGCTGTTTGAAGCCGAGTGAAGCTCCGCTGAGCTGTTAAATTACATTTAAAGTCGTAGAAAATGATACTACGAAAATTTTCACGAGTTAAATCCATGTGATGTAGACAGCCAATTTCTAAAATGACGCCACAATGCAAAAACAAGTGACAGTCAGATGAAACAAATTGGATTCTACTGCCAAAGAGCTCCATTTTCAAATGTTGTTATTACTTTTTAAATATTGTTTATGTAAGTGGCCAGTTCCGGAAACTTATCGTGCTTGTGATGATGGAAATGACTAGATTAGTTTTTTTTTTTACTTAATTTTTTTGTTTTTAGGGACATTAACATGCTATTTGGTTGTTCAAATCATCGGAAACGTTGACAAATCGGAGTTAGGTGAATCTGACCTTAAAATTTGAGAACAGGAGATAGAAAGTGATAGGTCCTCTTCATGGTCACGTTCTAGCTCCTCTAACAGCTCAGAAGAAATCGAACCTAAACCTGGATTTAATGCTCTCATATCGTCTCCATCTAGTCGTCGTGGTAGTCATCAGCAGTTGTGGTTGGAGGTCGACTATTCGCAGCCGTATATCTAATAAAGTCGTATCTGTATACAGAAAGTCGATCAGCGGAAACCTTCACCAGCCAGACCAGCTCCATATTTTTCTACGTTAGTTTTGATTATAGTTCACTACCGACCCTGAGGGTATACGAGAAGGGCACCATAACCTGTGCGCGCATAGGAACCTTATAAGGTTCTGACCCCAAACCAGCCAGTGTACAGGATTGTCACAGACCTCTGTCACTTGTCTTCATCCGGTTCTTCGAGAGGTTAGAGCCTCAGGTGAGCCGCCCCGGGTGCACGTACAGTGCCCTCCCTACTTTCCAGATAGGTAGCGGAGCGCATTGCAAAACTAGCGGTTGCCACCGCTAAGCCGTCGACTCTGAGTCCACTACCAAATCTCCTCATTGGTGGAGGAGCTGTATGTCACGCTCACTTCCCGACGCCAAAAACGACATCTCTCCAGTTCCCAATAACCTAAATGGCTGGAGAGACCGGAGGATATCTACTTATCCTCTACTAGCTCTTGCGCATAGTGCCGGAGATACCAGTCGCAGTGTTCTGCGGCAATATCCGGACATAGCTTCCAACTTAAAGGGCAACTCATGTGGCCCACGCGTCTCCTCGCTTCAGGCCCTCAACTAGGTCGCTACTAAGACGCACTAGCTGCTCACGAGACAGACGCCCCGGCTACACCCAACCGGGGCAGACAAACATGTCCGTCTCTGCAGCTAACCACAAACCCCAGCGAGTCCATACCCAAGTCCGCGTCCACCAGAGGGGAGTCTCTGGTGGCAAAGGCGTATCACTGGCGGAGGATCCAGCCCAGATCAGTTGTTTTTCAGTGTGTTCCGAATTCTTCACAGTCACTTCTATTATCCAGTCTTGGTCGATCTTCTAATAGTACCTGTTCAAGTACCCGTGATGCTCAACAAAGTCGTGGTCGATCATCATCTATTCGAAGCCATACTTTTTTGGGAACGGTCACGATCAGCAAGGCGAAGTCGTTCGGCTGATACACCGTTATCACATAGATCAAGGAAGTGGAGACAAAGGTCATATGATGATAGGGATCAATTGTGACAGGTACCCATCTCGCCCTTGTGACGGCCCACGACTGGAACTTGCTGCCCACCCTTTGATTATTTTCTTGAGTATTTTGACGACGAATCGACGAAAAAGATCTCGATAAGTTGGTATTTTGCGTTAATTAATAATTAATAATAAGTCCATATTTTGTTATATTTTATGTGAACAACATAAATGCTTAAAAAATGAAACATCAAATCCAATCACAAAAAATAATTTTCTCGTGCTAAAAGGGTTAAGCAAAGATCACACTTCATGCTTCCTCCTTTAGATTAGATATGTGCTTTGCTTCTTGTTGCTTTTATACCAAAAGATCGGTAAACCGTCGTGACAATTGAGCCTTGAGACGACCTTTGGAATCCAATGATTCTAGCGATTGTAACCTGGTTTTCGATTCTTGTTTTTTTTTTATAAATTATTTGTTCATGAATTATGGACCAATAAAGTATCTAAGAACAAGGAATAGTGGGAGTTCTTTAGCATGTAAATAAATATAGAACGTTGCACAATGTGATATCACGAGTTCATAATCCCGCAGGTAAATTTATAATTCTCAAAAAGAAGATTCGCAAATTCACGCGTATGGATTTTATTTTCTCAATTGATATTTCGAAATTAATATGTGTATTTTGTAATATAAATTAAATAATGTTACAGATATTCCTAAATACTAATACAGTGCCTTTAGAGTGTTGTTGGGGTTGCCACGGTGCTACAGCGCATCAGGCATGTTCGCGGAATCTTACAAGGATGGCTTTCAAGTCATTCTCAGAAAGAGAGCTGCCTCATTGTTAAGCCGTATCCGTGGCAGTACAAATAATATTCCTCGCTTTTTAGCTGGTAGTGTTGACTGCCGGATCATCCTTCATTGTATGAGACTGCTCTCTAATTATGTTTGCTCCGTTTTTGTTTGCTACTTTTTTGATTTGTGTTTTGTAAAATCTGATGGAACTGCTTATACTTGAATAACTCGGTATTGTATTATGGACTACAATTGTCTGAAAATAAACGATTTCAAAATTTTATTGATATTAAATTTATTTTCAATTAGTTTGTAAGTGAAATTACTCCACTAGTTTGTTATAATTATTAATACAAAGATCGAACACTCGTAGGATTTTTTCCGAGTGTTCGGTCTTTATATTAATAAATTAAATAATTTCATTTCATAATATTAATAATCATGGTCCACAGATCTTATGGGAAAAGTTTACACAGCCAACCCCATAGTTATGACTTTAATGAAACAGATATAATGTGGCCCTTTGGATACCTAACTATATAATCAGTTCCTAGTTTGCAATGGATACTTATGCTTAAGTTACCTGGAACTTTCATGTCGGAAAAATCACTGATAAGTTTATTTTATTATTTACCCGTAATTCAGGTTTTTCTATACCTATCTCGGGCACCAGTCTCTCATAAAACAGTCTGACCAATTTTTAGAGTTGTATTAACCTTAAGGCCCCTACTCTTCAGCCTGTTTTGTCATTGAGAAATAAAACATCATTTCATTTCATTATTCATCGTCTCCAAAATACTTACGTACGAAATATTATTTCAATCTAATTTCCAATCAATACATTTTTCAATGACAAATATTACGTATAATGCTTACGCATAAAACAAAAATATTACCCTCCTTATGCCTGACCTTACCTAAAGAATTTGCATTTTGGTAAATTTCGTGATATTGGCATCTAAAGTTAATTTTTCTTTGAATAATATGTCAATTACTTACACTGATTTTGCTTAACAATAAAACTGAAACTAAATAAGACATTAAAAAACCGCTTATAGGGGTTGTAGATCTTGCGTCGCTAATTGCAGATATGTTAATAATTAAATTTCGCAAACAAAAATGTCAGTTACGTTACTTTGATAAGGAGGACGGAATAGTGGAAATTCTATTATGAAAATAAGGATATTTGTGTTGCGCTATTATGTGTAAAAAATAAACTGATATAAAATTAAACATTAACAAAACTGTGTATAACAAGCGTCGGAGATTTAATACAAATATTAAATTTTAATCAGCCGTCGTCGACAACAAGTATTAATGACATCTCCCCACAAGATGATATTCCCCTGGAACACATTAGTTTGCCCACCGAACAATGTAGGGTTGCGAATACACTGGCGACGCGAGAGCGATAGCGATTTTACACCCATAATGAGCGACGCGACACAGCCAGTCTAAAAGTATACGTCTTAGAGATTATATTTGTATGTTATTCTCTATACATTCGTCTTGTGATATTCATTAATACGAATGGTAGATCAACGATACGAAATATCATTTTATCATTTAATTCGACAAATACGGTCACAGCGATTTAATGGTATGTTAACATAAACATTGTGTAGTATAAATAATGCTTATAAATGGTGGTTGTTATTTTATTTGAAAAAACAAATACAAAAAGAATACTTAATAAGTATTATTTCGCGTAAGTAGGTTGTAAAACAAATCACAACTAACTAGGTTTTCTATAGATTGTCTACTCCATACACTGACTTACTCCATATCAAATATTTCATGGTCCCGGTGTTCCCCAAAATTAATTTTGAATTTACCCATTACGGAAATTTATTAACATTAAAAAAAAAAATTTGTGTTCCGCCGATTGTGTCACCAGATCGATGTTAACATTGAGATCGATAAGCATGGCGTGTTATTGGTCAAGAATAGTTATATATATCTAGAAAGGCAAAATGGGATAAGCGACACTTTTGGTCACATTGAGTTATATATTCCGTTGGAATCAGCTAATATTTCTGATTGCAACGGTATATATAACTCAATGTGACCCAAAAGTATCGTTTACGCCATTTTGCATTTCAAGTGTCGTATGTATTTTTCTTAGTAACAAATTAGAGGTATAAAAAAACACGGATTGATGCGGCTAGCACGGGACCGTGGTGGATGGCACGAACTTCGGAGGTCTATACCCACCAGTGGTTGAAATCAGGCTGTGGATGATGATGACGATAAAAAAACACAGAAAAAATCATATAATACGTTTATTATACTAATAGACTAAACAATTACACAACTAAAATAATTAAATTTAAAAAACTAAATTACCAAAAGTAATGCAAAAACCATACATTCACGCATACATGTAGGATATACAGATAGGGCTTTTTTATACCGTGTGAGCATCCTTACGGGTGGCGTACATCAGTGTGAGCAAGGGGACTCCAAATGGAAAGGGAATCAGCGTTGATAAATGATTTCGTACAAATGTTATTTTGATCTTCGCCGATATCGTAGGATATGTTGTGGGGGCGTATGTATTATTATTTATGTTAGCGTATGTTATGTTTTATTTTTTATATCGAGGCCCTGTAACGAAAAAACATTTACAACATTCTCGTTTGTACTAAAAATACCACAACTTAAAGATTTAAAACACATGCAAAGGTTGACAATTAATTTCTTATCACTGAAAGGGTGGCTCTAGAGTTTAATATTAGTTTGGGTACTGCATAGTACTTAGTTTCTGTACGCTGCAGAGTGATGTATGCTCCGTGAAATAGAGAAGAAGATGATAAATATTCTGGAAATGTGATGCTGGAGAAAAATGCTTAGAATATCGTGGACAGTTTCGTTGAAACACCTCCGTACCCCAAGAACTCGATATCAAACAGCGTCTGTCTACCGTGATACAAAACTTGCATTCTGAAATTCTTTGGTCCATAGAGCGTCTTGTCGTGCTGAGCAGGGTGGAGGGCACTAGACTGTGCTAAAGGTCACCCATGCGGTGGACCGATCAAATAGTCTGTAGTGGGCGGTCCTTTGCATGAGTGCACGAGGGAGTCCACTAACCGAGAGAGATGGCGTGATGACGTGTCACTACACGAGCCATATCAAACAAAAGTTTTTAGGGTTTAGAGTGCACGACTGCCAAGAATGTAAAGTAATTGTAAGTACGTATCATTGTTAACATCAATAAAAAACGACCGCGAAGAAACATACTCCGTGATGACCTTGACCACTCTGTCTGAGTGCACCGAAAAAAAGAAAAAGTAGTGCACAGTAACAATAGTTGCATTACGACAGCAAAATTGCAGTCGGAAAACGGTTTGGAGGGACGACTGCATGCCAACCGAATCGCGACTACATCACAACTACATATTTCTAATACAGCTAGAGCGCAGTCGTCGCGCAGTCGGTGTACAGTCGGCATGTAGTCGTGCTGCAGCTTGATGGGATGTGACCTTACGTCTTTAGTAAAAGAAGTTCATTCGACAGAACGAAGAGTTTTAGAAAACTAATTTATGTAGGTATCGTGTATATATTCCATTGGTCTTTGGTAAATCTTCCCGAACTATCGGCAAATTTGAAGCTTTAGATACAAGTATTAAAACAGTCGGTTTGCAAGCGGTGACGCTTAATACTTAATACTTGGACCTTGGTTTTAATACTTGGACCGCTTGGTCTTTTGCTATGAAATATGTTTATTGCACGTTAAAAATTACAATGACTATACAGAACAGTAATGCAAAGTATCACATAATAAACGAATGTACAACAGGCGGCAGTATTGCTAAGTAGCAATATCTTCCAGGCAGCGTTAGGATACAAATTTAAAATTTGGAGAGGGTGTGACGTGCAACCAAGAATATCCTCTAATAGAAATATTTCAAATAAACACACTACACACTGAATACTAATAATGTATAATAATAAAATCTACTTATATATTTTAACTTTTGTAAGAAAATGAAATAAAGTAAGTAAGAAATAGTAATAATAGCAAATATATAAATAAACATAGGAAAATTATAATACTGCGCAATAACGGAAAAAAACGAAAACTTTTTGTTTGTAATAAATTCACGACCTAGCCTTTAAATGCCATTTGGTTGACAAGAACAAGCTGCACGCAAAAACAAACCGTAATGTTAGATATCCAAAAACATTTTACCCATTTACTAGCCATCCAAGCTAATGTAGTATTCTCCATACGGGGCCCCATGAGAGGGTTTAATTGTGATACATAAATAGTAATCCAGCTAGAAAGTGAAAAATAATGAGTTAATAAACGGAAAGTTCTATTTTGCTGACCAGAGCCAGAGTTCGAACTCGGGGCACATATTCTTCTAAATAGCTTATGCTTTGGAATATTAAGTTTATTGAATATCATGATGTTTTACTACGTTGCAGATCTTTGTTTCTGGTTTTCATCGACTTTCTGCCGTAGCGCCATCTGCTAGAAATCTATGAAAGTTTTTTGACTGAGACAGGTACGTTGACCAGCGGCTGACTAGTTTATGCTTTTTTCTTTTCTTTGTTACAAGAATACTGTGTAAATAACGATAGTCACTTACAATAACCACATGCAGAATGCAGTTAACATTATACAGCATCGGGTAATCCTGTAAAAAATTATACACGGATCACTAATGCAGGACATGTTCAAACTGGCCCATCTTTTTTTAACGCTCACACTCTTAGCCCTGCACAAGGAAAACCATGTATCGCGGATGCCATGGACATATGCATAGACAACCAAAAATTATAATAGAAACATTGCATCCAAACTTCCAAGGGAAATAAATATGGACCATACAAATATTCTCGCGGCCCAGGAATCGAACCCGGACCTCTGCGAACCCGGACTTTTCATGACTTTATTTTTTTCAATAATAAATTCAATTTAACTAAACCGAATTTAATGAAATAGTAAAATAATAGGTTACTCACATAAATAGTATTCCAATAAGTACTTATTTTTCAATTCAATTAAAATAAACTTGTTTTTGAAATGTGTTATATTTAGACGACCTCTGTGGTCGAGTGGCTTGAACATCGGTTTTTATGGTGTCGCCAACTCTGAGATCCTGGGCTCGATCCCCGGCCGAGTCAATATAGACTAACTTTTTAATATTGTCTCAGGTCTGGGTGTTTGTGGTACCACCGTTGTTTCCGGTTACCATAACATAGCACGTTGCTGTACCTTGTTCTAGCCCCAAGTAAGTATATAGCATTTTTTTTTATAATATCAAGTGACGGGACGGACAAGTCGTGCACCTGATGGTAAGCTGCACGCCTGTCCATAACAGTTGCAGTGCCACTCAGAACTATAAATCGCAAAGATCTGAGGGGCACTGCCACCGCTCCTGTCACCCTGAGACATAAGTTGATAAGTCTCATGTGCCTGTAATTTCACTAGCACCCTTACTCTTCAAAACCGGAACACAGTAATGCTGACATTACCGCTTGGCGGCAGAAATAGGTAAGGTGGCAGTACTTCCCTGGACGAACTCTTTCACAAGGAGCTCTATTGCTACTAAATACTTACTTTGGGATCAGAACAATGTACATAACGTTGTCTAATATGTATATATTAATAATTTTCAAGAAATATTGTTCAAAACTTTTGCATTTGTTACGGGTTTGTGGCACAAGACACCGCTCTGAGCGGGTAATTATTATTAGATGTTTCTGCCTATTGTACCAGCAGAAAACTAAGGACTACTCACCCTCGACTTTCACTTTTGGGCACCATGAACGGTCCACATATAAAAACCAGCCCGAGAACACCAGTGACAACATAAATCGGAATGAAATGCTTCCCTTCAGCCATAGTTAACTTTAAAATAAAAATTATCATTAGGTATATCAAAAATTATCATATATCATTAGGTCTGTTTCTAAATCAAACACAACTACAAAATACCAAAATTAATGCTACCGTTTCCGTAAAGCGGGAAAAATAGTAATTGTTGACTATTAAACGAGTCGTCGAAAGCTTAACAAAGAATTTGTTAGACAGCTCATCTCAAACCAATTGACATTTAAAAATAAATTATCTTCTTTCTGTTAAAAAGATTGTTCACGTTTTCTTTATGACAGCGAAGACATAAACTTGAATGAGAGATCAAACAACGCATTAAAAGTTAAACGAAGACACTGTTCGGTTATCAAAAATCGGTTATACTATATAACAAAATAAAACCATTTCGATATGATCTACACGTCTTTATTTTGCTTTCAACAAAAACTCAAACTATAATATTTAATTTTTACTCAATAAAAAATCCATAACTAGATCCTCATAGCGCGGCGAACTAAAGTACCTGAGGCCGATCGATCGTAGTATCTCTCGATCGCAGATAGTGGGAGAACGGCCGCGCGCGCGCACCTATAATGACTCAATTATCCGCTTAGGGGGGGCGGGGCCCGGAACAGTATGTCTTCATTACAAAAGTACGGTGCAGTAAGTAAGGAAACAGATTACTCTTCAAAACTTTTCTTGTTTTGGCATTTGAGTGAAGTCTTTGTTCAAAAGCCGCCGTTTCTATTGCAGTAATGGAGTATAGAAGGTACAATATATACAGGTACATTTGTAAAATACTAAGAACATCGCAGTACTATATTACTAACATCAGAAACAACATCTTTTTTCGAATGACTTTTGAATGAACTACCTCCGTGGCCGAACGGTTACCATGCTGGACTGCAACGCTGAGGTCCCGGGTGCGAATCCCGGGCCGAGAGGAATATTTGTATGGAATACATTTATTTCTCTCGTGAGTTTGGGTGTAATTTGTGGTTGTCTGTGTGTGTGTCCATGGCACTCGCGATACAAGGTTTCCCTAGTGCGGGGCTATGAGTATGTGCGCGTTATTATTATTATGTTATAATTATTCATCAGAAAATAAAACTATTTAAATATATTGCTCTGAACGGTGATAACTCTGTGTGGTAACAAAGAAAGTGCTAGCGTAAATACCAGTCCAATGCAAAACGCCGGAGCAGGGGTGAGAGTCGTCGGGGAGGACGCTTGCATGTTTGAACTTACTACCTTAATACTAAATACAGATCTAAAAAGTATCAGATAGTATTACAAAAGTTTGAAAGTTCATTTTTGGTACATATATTATTATGTTTCGTAGAAAGTCATGTAAAAGTTGTTGTTTATGATCTTAGTAATGTAGTCCTACAAGGTTGTTAGTATTTTACAAACAACAACAACCGGTATATTTGTTTCGGAGAACGTTTCGATGAAGTAAATGATGCAATACTCAATCAAGGTCCTTTTATTTACACTTTATAAACTACGTATTACAAAAGAAATGGTAATTTACACAATTTTTCACTGAATTGACACAATGCACGCGCCTGCCTTAAAACACTTCCACCTTTATTTTTGCACCAATTATCCGGCTGCCTCTTAATGTTCTATTCTATGTTATGTCGTATGGCACTAGTTTACAAATTACGATCGATTCTATTAATCCACGCCTTCCTATATGAATTGTTTTAAGTCTACGTTGTTTTTTCTGTTAACTAACGCTAATAAAGCTATAAAATTGAGCCCATGAAAACCATCACATTAGATTTACTATAACACCTTTGACGTTAATTTTAAAACACAGATTAAAAGCCTAGTTCACATATGCCAACCTCAAGGAAGAGCCGTACAGCGACCACATCATAGGACGTTATCTATTGGTACCACGGTACATCGAATTTATTGGTAATATCGATGCTCCATGATGGGCACTTACGGCGAAGCCTCAAACTATAGCCTGCTAAACGCTATCTTCATTGATCTCATGTTGACCTCCCGGGTCAAAATTGATTCTTAAGCATTTCTTAAGTTCCTATTTTACGTACGATGTGGGTTATCACGCCGTCAATTGTGGATATTTGTTTGCAAAGTTAAAATATAACATTTTATATCGAGATATTAGTAAATATATTATTTCGAATATATTTACTTAAATATAAGACTAACTACAAAAAAGTACGTACAATTTCAATTTCAATTTCAATCTTTATTGCTTTTCCATAATGTGTACAAGATGTTATAAAAATACAAAGATCATTTATGGACCCTGTCGGGCACAGCAAAATGAGAGGGAGGCATTTTTAATAATTTAGAAATTATTATTCAAACTACTTATATTATTTTATAATCTATATAGATATGATGTATTTCAGTGTTATTTATTTTTAAATGACATTGAAATTATTTTTATTTATTTGTATTTATTTGATTTTTCAAGAATTTAGAAATCGAAATAATATATTATCTTATAATCGATACAAATGCGTATTTTGGTGTTTTTTATTTTTAAATATACCCTTTTCATTTATTTGTATTTTTAATATTTAAGAAATAATTATGGAAGTAATATATTATGTTACAATATATTTGAACATGTATTTAAGCATTATTTATTTTAAAATATAAACGATTTATTTAATTTGTATTTTTAATAGTTTAAAAATACTTATTGAAGCAATTTATTATTTTATATTGTCTATGAATATGTATTTAGGTTTCCTTTTAATATAATTAATTTTTTATTTGTATTTTTTTAGTATATATTATGTGAAGTTTAACTATAATAGTTTAAATATTGTCATTGAGGTATTCTTGAACAGTATAGTATTGTTTAGTTGCTAATAGATTCTTTATTCGTGTTACAAATGCTTTTTCTTTATTTAAGTGTTTGATTGGGTTTGGTAATTTATTAAAAATTTTAATTGACATAACTAATGGGCCGGAATGGTATAGTTGTAAACGAGAGGTAGGTATTGTTAATTTATCAAGACGCCGTAAACCGTAATTTAAGTACTTTAGGATCGATGTTTTTAAAGATTAAACATACTTGCAAACATTAGCTTCATAAGAACTTTCTAAATCACTGTTAGAACTATTTTTTTCCATGACGTCACGTTTTGATGACATTTTAATTCTCTACTAATCCTTACCGATCTTGTAAGTACCCGCATAATCTCGAGAGAAAGGAGCTATGTTACTAAGAGAATGATTCAAATATGACTCCAGAACCCCCAGAATCTTCACGGTCAAAGGGTAGGGGCGGTAATGGTCGGTTTTGACAGCTGTCACTATGACAGGCGGGTCAAGCGAAAGGTTCAATTTCCGCCCGCCACGCCCGTGCCATGATTTGAATTTCGATTTTGGAACGCCTTTCCAGCGCGCTAAAAGATTACAAAGGGGTTATGTAAAATTATTTTGTGACAAGGGTGTAGCACTGTTGTGATCAAGTCGTAAAAATAAATTTATAGAAAATGCCTCTTTTTTTCCGAAATTAATGACGAAACTTTGGAATAAATGAAGCATATTTTCTTCGATGTATTGTTTCGTTTCACTGGTGAAACAAATCTATTTAAAATAAAAGACAATATTCATTTTGAACTCACAAACTCGCTACCGGTTGAAAAGGTATTTTACTTACTATTTTAAAATATGTTATCATATAATTTTCATTTCATTTATAAAACTTCGAGATAAGTTTTATAAAATACATAAGAAAACTTTTGAATGCATTATAGATACCTACTTATTTTTGAACACAGCACAAAATTACATTTTGCCATTTTTTAAAGTCTCATTTACACTTGCCATGATTACTCCAATGTTAAGACAAATACTCCGTAAAATTTGCTAAATTAGAATAACACCACACATGTTAAACTTCGTGAACCAGTGATGGGACACGATCAGTGAAATCGAGAATCGACGTTAAAATATATCGTCTGAACAACGACATATTTTATTCAATGTTATTTATTATATCACGGAAATAATTGAAATCAACTCACTAATTCATTAATAGGGTCCCCACCAAGAATAATGTCAAATAGGCATGATCACTATTTGTTCATTTTCATAAAACGTAACCGAGCATACATTGCTAAATAAAAGTATATTAATTGCGTGTTGGATAAAAAAAAAAAAACACCAACAATGCACATTTTAAAATAAAAATAATAACACATCGTAGTTCAAATAAGCCCGTTAATAATTTTGTTATTTAATTCAAGGATTTTTTTTAAATCCCCAAATATATTTTTGAGCTGAAAACTTAATTGACTCTATATTTTAGACGTATCCTTCACAAACTGTTCTCCGTATGACGTAACTTCATTGTGTAAAAATAAACATTAATAATAATCTCGAAGAACTGCCTCCGCGGCCGAACGGTTACCATACTGATCGGCCACGCAGAGGTCCCGGATTCGGTTCCCGAGCCTACATTTATTTTTCTCGTGACTTTGGGTTTAATTTGTGGTATTCTATGAGTGCATCGATGGCACCCGCGATACAAAAAAATCTTAGTGTTTATTTATTATTAGCTCAAAAAGTTATTTAGTTTGTTGTTTCAATGATCGTATGTTAATGTGTGTCATACATCATCATTCTAATAAGCTATTTTTTTCGATGTGTAATTGTTTACTGACAACTTTGAAGCTGAAAACTAAGATTGAAAATAAATATTTACAATGCATTCAATTGAAAATGAAATTAATTTTTGGAACCTAAATCGCGTCTATTTGCTTTTTCCAATAAACGAACGTTTCGGTTCTTTTCAGACTCCTTAGCTATAGTATATATAATATTAGATATATATACACAATTTATATAATAAAAATACTTTTAGTGTAGTGTAACAATCGCGAAAACCTAAGAACTCGAAATTCGTTCAAAGTCCTTTAAGTACTATTCAAACAATCATATAATTTAAGCACTCTTTTTGTTTGATGTGTCTATTGTAGTTTTTGTTACCTTTGATGTGGCCCTCACTGTAATATTTAACTCTGTACTACAGATTACCATGATATTAATTGTTAATATAAAGTCAAAAAATGTTGCATAAGTCAATTTTCCGTACTTAAAAAAAAATTCAAACCAGTGAAATTAGAATTTATATGGAAATGTAAATGAAACCCTGTCTGCGATTGATGAATAAATGAACAAA